CGATTAATTTTACGTGTTTATTAGATGTGTTTAGCATGTTCTATGAATTAATATATAAATGCCTATGATTTTATGTGTTCATAATTGGTTCATTACATATTATTGTGTAGACGAGCTCTTCGATTTTGAGAAATCGGATGAGACCTCGTCATTTGTGTTTAAGTTTGGTCTTATGGTGAAGACCTCGGGCGATCTCATGGTAAATCGAGTCTTAGAGAAATTGTAGAACGTGTTTAGTGTCTTTTTTTTTTAATAAAATCATAATAAATTATATTCGGATCCGATTGCTGTGGAATTTTTACTGTATCTGAATTTTCGCATTATATAGCTCGTGTAAAAATTTCAGAATTTTCAGAGGTCTGTAGCTATTTTTAAAAATTATTTTAATTTCTGCTCAGATTCATGTTTAATTCATAATAAATTGTGTAGTGCTCCAAAATTTATGAGATTTTAATATGTTTTCAATCTGCCTGGTTAGGTTGCTGTGTAAAATCTTTAGAATTTTTGTATTGATATTGATAGGGTAAATAATTTGTTTACAGTTTCGGCTGAAAAAAATGTTTTAATTATCATAAATTGGTTAGTTGCTCAAAAATTCTGATTTTTGGCTGAGGTGCTTGTTTTATGTATAGTTTCATGCTATAAAAAGATTGGAATTTTCGGAGATCGAATTGGTTCAGTTTTAGTTATAATTCAAAAACTGCAGAAAACCGTATGAATTTTCATAATTCGTGTATTTGATGTTAATAGCTGGAATTTTTATATGTTGGTCTTTACCTGATGTAGTTGCTCCAGTAAAGATTTCAAGTACAGATTCATTCATTAGTTCAGGCTTCAGATTTTATACTCGTTTATGCTGAAATCACGTTTGAATTTTATAAAATAGTGTATAATGAGTTTGGGGCTGAAACTTGTTGGTTTTGTTAAGTCCAGTGAGATGGTTTTATGTTAAAGTTTAGGACTTAAATCATTGGGTTCCCCGACCTTCTTGAATTGGTGTATTTGCTCTTAATTGGTCGAGTTGAGTCCAAGTGTTCCAAAATCCACTGTACTTCACGAACAACTTAGTCGAATCAAGTTCGACTAATGTGTTTTACGTTTAAGTCAAGATAAATGTTGATTGTAGGATCTTGACTTAATGTAGGTGCTTGAGGAGTCAAGTCTCAAACTACGCCTCTTTTATTTCGCTGTTATCAATCCAGAATCCAGGTGGGTTTACTTATTCAAAACTTGCTATGCCATATATGTGTTTTCTTGTTGAAATGGTATGATTTTAGTATGTATGTAAATCATGTAGCCTATCGGCGTGATCCGGTGTCGGCCGTCGGTACGGTTGTCCCCGTCGAGTTACGGTACGGTTGCCCGTGCGAGGCAAGTCTCCGTAAGACCTAATGAAAGGCCGTGTCCGTTACAGTGGCACGTACCCCCATGAGTTAGGGTAATGAATCCCCTATCCTTGGCTAATGAGAGATGTGTACACGTGGGTAATATGTTATGATGTGATGTGATTTGGAGACGTGACAAATGATTGCTTTATGTTCATACTCTAACCATACCAACTGTTATTATTATATATGTGCATAGTGGTGAGCACGCTTTTCATCTTGTGCTCATCCCCACCTGCTCTTCACCGATGCAGGTTAAGCAGGAGCTGGGTGACGAGAAGAGGCGAGTGGGTCGGTCATTTATTTATGCTTGTTATTGCTTCCGTTTGAATAATAAGGTTTCATGAGCCTTTATGATGAGATTTGACTAAACTATTTTCCAGAACTTATGACTTGTGTGTTTTTGGAAAAATTTTATGGAACCCCAATGTTGGGTATTATGGTTTGATTATATATTCGTGTTGAGAATTGTGCCTCGTGATGTGTGTGGTTAATGAAAACCATTTGCGAAAACCGAGTAATGAATCCCCGTAGGCCCAGATAAGACTTGGGTTATGAAAATGTTGTTTAACACCCATTGAATCCTCGAAAATAATTTTGAAAATTTTACACTGATTTTTGGAAAGTCCGAAATTTCTTTAAAATCAAAGTGGGGTGTTACACTCGTTTAGTTGTCCCGTGTTTTAGTTTGTTTTAAGTCTGTGTTAGGTAGTTTTTTTGGTCTGGGTTTTTACCTGAGTGTTGTTTGTTCTGTTTTTTTGGTTTGGACCGTTGGTCTCAGTATGAGCGAGAGCATATCTATTCTCCTGTTGGGAACAGCTCTTGTCTCTATTCTCCTGTTGGGAGCTTTTTGTTTTAGTTTTTGTGGTTTGTGGTGTTGTAGTATTGTGTGCCTTTTCGGTTTCTAGCGTTGCTAGTGTCGGGTTTCTAGGCGGTCGTAGACCTGTCCTCCCATTTCACTCAGCTTGGGGTCGGTTCATTCAACCTTGGGTTGTATCTTTGCACATTTGTGCTTTTTGTTTATAATATGTTTATCATTTCGTCAAAAAAAAAAAGATTAATATGCAATCAAATCGTTATGTAACATTTGTTTTAACCAATGATCAAATTTTAAAACATAATACCATTATCTAACTTATAATTTTAACATTATATGCATGAATATAACTTATAATAGTATATGTTTAAAATGTAATACAATTATTTAACTTTTTATCTTAATATTATATGCATATGATTACCTTAGAATACTTTATTTACATATGTGCAAATGCGCATGGTCGAATATTAGTAAAACATCAAGAATGTGGAAAATAAATGATCCAACTTTATTGTTTTTTAGGCCTAAACAGACATGCCATGTGGAAATGATCACCCTTATAATTCATGAATGCTCTAAGCCTAAATGGCAGACTCGTATTCTTCGTAATCCTATTGTAATAAAGTTGTGTTTCGTATTAACAAATGTACATATTTGGTTTTAACTATTAGACATGGAAATTACCATAAACTATTTTAGCTTTCCTTACATTTTAAGTAACCATATATTACTCTTATTTTTTTCTTATTTAATTCATATGTTCATTATTATAAATATATTGTTTTATTTTTAAATCTTTATATTTTTTATTTGTATTTTATTTTTTTATATATGATACATAAAAATAGTCATATTTTAACGATTTTCGATTTGACATTCATATTACATATATAAAATAGAAATGTATCCATCCATCTCTATGAATAAATGGTTTGGATATAAAACCAAATTTTTTAAAAAAATAATCAAAATACTATAAAATTATTTTATAAAATTAAAAAAAAAAAAAATTAACTCATGAACACACCATTAATTAATCATTTTAATGTGTTTTTTCGTATATTTTAGGTAAAATATTAAAATTAAGTATTTATATAAAATAAATTTGACGACATATTATAATGTGTTTTTAATGTGTTATTTCAGCGTAAATTTTAATATTTTAAATTTTGAAATTAATGAATTTAAAATGCTTAAAATTTTAATAAACGACTAACTCTATAAATATAAAATATAGTCACAATAAAACTTATTTTGTTTTAAAAAAACTGAATCAAATATGTAGTTGTAAATAATATTTGTTCTTGATATATATATTTTAAAAATATAACTAAAACTATCAAAATGAACAAATTTAGTGTAAAAATACGAGCGCCATTTTGAGTTACTCATCAGTTTGTTATTTACTCATTATCGTTGTATGTTCTTTTATACATAATTTCACAATAAAAATATAAATTATCTAAAATTTTTTATTCTACAAATATTGATATACTTAAGTACCCGCGTATCATACTAGTTCGTCTAATATCTTTGTCACGTGTGACTTACGGAAATAAAACATCATGAGATTTGATGCATTTTTTTAAAACAACCGACAAATTCTGTTAGACTAACACATGAGGACCGACATATTTCCCTTTTAAAAAGTTTTGAAAATCGTCTAACCAAGCAGATGTGGAAAACCACATGGAGACATTCAATGAAAAGCAAAATCAAGAACTTCTTGTGGAGATGCTGGTTTGGCCTTTTAAGCACATGAGTGAACTTGCAAAAGAGAGGTCTGGGGTAGGATGTGGTGTCCAATTTGTCGAGAGGAGAGGGAGGATCTAGATCACATATTCTTTAAATGCCAAAGGGCTAAGGTTGGTTGAAATTTGTTGTTGGGCATCAATTGGAACAACTTGATTTCAAGAATAACCTCATACAAAAATTGGTAGTTTAAGATCTGCTCCACGGGCACTAAGAAAAATCTTTGTGATAGAATTAGTCTTTCAAGCTATCTCATCTGGTGGCTTTGGAAGACTAGGAATAGTTGGTTGTTTGAACATGTGTGTACACCTGAGATTGTGATTGTTTAGATTGCTTGGGAGGAATGGTAAGAATATTCTACAATCTTAGAGGCTAACAGGGCTTTGAAAAAACAGTCTCTGAACCAAAGTAAGAAAGGGCATGAAACTGAGGCCGGAGATGGTTATTTGGGAGTAGGGGAGGCTTTCTTAGCTGTCAGTGCTCTATCTACTGCTTCAGTGTATTTGGGTCTTGGAGGAGGTTCTAAGTGTACGGAGTTTGATACATAGCTAGTTTGAAGTTAGGAAATTTGCAGGCACCAAGGAGGAGGGCAATCTTTTGGCTGTTAGATGGCTTCTGGAAAGAGCAGTAGCATCCAAACTTCAATCCATCAGATGTTGTGTTGATGACAAGGGCCTAGCTTCAAAACTTCAAAAAAGAGACTCCTTCAACTGTGTTTATGGCATTATTGCTGAGAACATTTATGCTTTGTTATCTTCTTTTCATGATTGTATATTTGTGTTTAATGTTTCTATGTATTTTCCATGTATGTAGCCAAAATGGATGTGAAGGGGAGATAACTCTTTGCCTCCAAGTGTGTTAGTTCTCTTGTTGTCTAGATTGCAATATTTGTAGTCAGTGAACTAGTCGGATGTAATATGTAACCGAGTTTTTGAATGAAGTTTATTACGTTTGTTGGAAAAAAAAANAAAAAAAAAAAAAAAAAAAAAAAAAATTAAAAAAATAAGTTAGAAATTGATAGTCATTCTTAATTGTAACTTGTCATGTCGACAATTATCTACCAATTATCGGAAACACTCAACTCCATTCCCCGTCTCAGAATTTGGTCATGGTCACATCTGAACCAAATCCAGGGCCTGCTAACGACCTCCGGCCTCTCCCGGACCGACCCTTATGCCGGTAAAATCCTCTCCTTGGCCGCAACTGTTGATATGAGGTACGCCCACCGGTTTTTTCTTCAACTCCCAAATCCGACACGGTTTCACTACAATGCCTTGATACGGGGCTTCTCCAACAGCAGAAACCCCGCCCAATCCTTCCTCCTATTCGCCCAAATGTTGCTCGCCGGTGTTCACCCCGACCACATGACCTACCCTTTTCTCGCCAAGGCCTCCGCCCGTCTCTCGGACCTGAAACTCGGAGGCTGCCTCCACGCGCGCGTCCTGTCCACCGGCTACTCCCCCGACGTTTTCATTTCCAACTCCTTGATCCACATGTACGGCTCCTGCTGCCAAATTCGGAGCGCGTGCAAGGTGTTCGACGAGATGCCCCTGAGGAACTCCGTCTCCTGGAACTCACTGTTGGATGGGTACGCCAAATGCGGGGACGTGGTCTCCATGACCAAGGTGTTCCACTTAATGCCTGAAAGAAACGTGGTGTCGTGGAGTGCTTTGATCGGCGGGCACGTGAAAAATGGGGGCCACGCGGAGGCACTGGAGTTATTCGAGAGGATGACAGACGGCGGCCCAGATGCGAATGAGGTGACCATGGTGAGTGTCCTCAGCGCGTGCTCCCACCTGGGAGCGTCCGAGCGAGGGAGGGCCCTGCACCGTTACATAATCGACAAGCGTTTGCCTCTTACTCTTATCCTGAGGACGTCCCTCGTGGACATGTACGCAAAGTGTGGGGCGGTAGACGAGGCACTAGCCGTCTTCCGGGAAGTTGCGGTGGAAAAAACGGACCTTCTCATGTGGAATGCCGTCATTGGAGGGCTCGCGGCCCACGGGTTTACAGGAAAGGCGCTTGAAATGTACGGCGAGATGAAGAGTTTGAGGATGAGAGGGGACGAGATTACGTACTTGTGTTTGCTCACCGCTTGTGCCCACGGGGGCCTCGTGAGAGAGGCCGAGGAGTATTTTGATGCCATCAGGAAGGACGGCCTGGTCCCGAGCAGCGAGCACTATGCATGCATGGTGGACGTGCTTGCTCGGGCAGGTCGACTGGCAGAGGCGTATGTATTTGTGCGCGAGATGCCGGTGGAGGCCACGGCTTCTGTGTTGGGAGCGTTGTTCAATGGGTGCATGAGCCATGGGAATTTCGAGCTAGCAGAGGTGGTGGGGAGAAGGCTGGTGGAGATGGACGCGGGCCATGATGGGAGATACGTTGGGCTTTCGAATGTTTTTGCGGTTGGGAGGCGTTGGGAGGAGGCGGAAAGCACAAGGCGGGCAATGGAGTCGAGAGGGGTGAGGAAGCTAGCTGGGTGTAGCTATGTGGAGTGTTTGGGGGGGCTCCATGGGTTTGTCGCGCACCATCAGGGGCATCCTCAGTCGCAACAGATTTATTTCATGTTGAGTGTAGTTGGGGAGCATATGAAATCTGGATAAAGAAGATGATGGGCATTGTGTTGATGTTGTAGATTAGCTTACACTTCTGACTTTCCACAAGTTTTCTAACTAAGTCAAATTTAATTGTGGCATACTAGTTGCGAAATCGAGTTTAACATTGATTGTTTAATTTGTGATATGGAGCGCTTCGAGCAATGCATGACTCAGTAATTAATACAAGGATTAATTAATATTTACCACACGACATGAGGAACTAAGAAAATTTTCTTGCTAACATGAAAAAAAATCCATTAAAGCAAGAACCATTCACTTCTCCAATGCAGCTTGGGTGTATATGAAACAGCATGATTGAAATTGAGAAGGCTACCCTTGGTTACGATGTGGATATATAGTAGAATTAAGCTTAATTTTCGAGAGATCTTGAGCAAAGTAAAACCCAGTTCCATTTAGGCGAAATTTTAAACTAACCACAAGATATTAAAGATATTGCATTTCTATGGGGAGTGGGATTTTATTTGCATAAATACCTACAAAATACATTTATTATGGATGAATAAAAAACATCAATTACCAAAATAACAACTTTCCTACAATCATGCCATTAGATTATTGAACTGAAAAAAAAATAAGGAAAGTCTATATTTTCTACTATTTAGGAAAGTTCATATAAAATGGAAAGGAATAAAAGATCTATAGAACATACGATCAAAAAAATCATTCATCTTGCTGCTATAAACGCCCATCGAAAAAATATACATAATATATAAGTCCAAAAAATATACAAAATAAACCTCGTAATATATACATAATATATACAGAAGATATACACAGAAGATATATATATATACATAATATATACATGATTAGGTTATACATAAAATATACAAAATATATTGAACATATACGGCCTATACACGCAACATATACTGTCATCACTAGTTCACAAAAAAAATAAAAGATTAAAGAAAGACTTATCGCGAAGGAGTCTCCTGGAGAGGCACCCGTGGAGGTCGGAGAGGGTGACGTTAGGGGTGTTCACGGTCCGGTTTGGTCCACTTTTATCCCAAACCATGACCAAATTGGACCTAACGGTTAATTTTTTTCTTGTCCATAACCAGACCGGTTTTATTTTTTTAACCGGCCACAATTCGGACCACATTGTACGGTCCGGTTTGGCGGTTAACCGGTTAAATCCAAATTATTTTTGGCCTTCAATTTTTATTTTTTTTTTTCACTTTAAGTTAAATTTTTATTTTTCAATTTTGGACTCAAAAGAAATTATTTGGGTCTAAAAATTAAGAAAAACAACAACAATGAAATTAAAAATACATAATTCGTTCCATAGACATAAAAATATAGTTAACTCAAACAATTAGAAAGAGAAGATGGGAAAATCTGAAAATCAAATCAAAGTGGACAAAAGTGAAAAATTATAGTGTCTTAGAGCATCCGCAAGGGGCCTCATTTTTGGCCGTTTAAACGGCCCCCCAGCGTTATTCCTCATTGCGGCTCGTTCATTAAAAGGGGGGCCCCATTCTTTCGTTCACTTGGCTGAACGCTCATTTTTCTTTTTTTTTTTTTCTTTTTCTTAAATCATTCTTTATTTAATCTTTTTTCTTATTGTTCCAAAATCATTCTTTATTTAATATTTTTTTCTTTTTGTTTGTATATTTAACTTATTTTTTATCTATATTACACTTTTCAATATAAATAAATTCAAATTTTATCTATCACACTTGAAAAAAAGAAATATTGTTATAATTGTACTATTTTTTTTCTTGTGTAATCTTTATTTAAGTTATTTTGATATTGTAGTGTTCTTTCATTTTCATGCATTTAAAATTTATTATTAAAATTTAAAAATATTAAATTTATTTTTATTGAGAATAAAATAAAAAAAAAAATATATTGAATGATAATGGGTCCCATATATGTATTTAAATGAATGTGTAGGAATGTGGGTGTGTGTTTAAATGGAGAGAGATTTAGTAAAAAATGATGTGAATGAGAGATAATGTTACTTTTTGATTGAATGAATGGTATTTGTGTTTAATGAATGCGGATGCCCTAACAAAATTAAGTCAACAAAAGACCAAAAAGTGAAAGTGAATGTATTGTATTTGTCGGCCATAGTGAATGACTGAATGTATATATATATATATATATATATATATATGTTATAGTTTTTTAATATTTACCGGTCTGGTCCTGTTAAACTGACGGTTTGCCGCAGGTAATCCGTTAACCAGACCAGTTATTCCGGATTTTAAAAAAAAAATAACCACCGGACTTTTTAAGGCTTTTTTAACCGATCCGCGGTCCGGATTGACGGTTTTTTTCGGTTAAAACCGGACCGTGAACACCCCTAGGTGGCGTGGTGGTCGCCGACAGAAGCGAGGACGAGCGGAGGCGCCGAGTTCCTTGAGCTTCCGGTTGTGGGTGGTGTGTGAAGTTCGGACGTCGTTGAAAATACAAGCGATTTTTACCAACTGTTTCCGGTGTTTCTTCTGGCTCCTCCATTGTTATCTGCATCAAAAAATTTCTAGTGTTTCTTCTAATTTCTGTATGAGTTTGATGCGGGGTTTGCAGAGAGAGAAATTGAGATCTGACGTGAAGAAGAGAGAGATAGAGACCATATAATTAAGGGAGTTACCTATTTAAACCAACTTACAGTAAATATGCAAATAAATATGTAAGGTTGTAAATGTGCAATAATATTGTAAATGCCTAGTAAGCTATGGAATTTTCTCTTCCATTTATTGTCAAACTGGAGCATGTCTTACCTAATGGTCCATATATCTACTTGTTGATATGGTTTTCGGTAAACCAAGTTATTAATAATCATTGGCGCTCAAAGCTCGACAATTAGAAGATTAAGTTATCTCAGAAATTGACATACTCGTGAATTTCAAGTAATCACACATCGGATAAGGATGAGCCAAGAACCGACGTCCTCATCAAATAAACCGACATCTCATATCGATTAAAGCATAATGAACTGATATCTATGACACGACGAACCGACATCATATGGCGGTGCCAGCTCAGCAAACCCATCATTATGCTTTGCCAGGTGGCGTATTGCAAGAATGAATGGCGATCAGCCGCCATTGACTTTTCCTGGCAAATTATTGTAGTCTCGATAATTTGGTGTTGTACTATAAAAACAACGAAAAAGAACTTCCAAAGGAAGAGGACAAGATATAGATTAACATATTCAATAAACCATGTTTTGATCATCTTTTCATCACCTTTATTTGTCTCAATAATCGATATAATTTACTCTGCATAATCTCTGTTCATTCACATATAACAACAATTTGGTGCTAGAGGAAGGGCCTCATAAGTGTTTGAGGTTAATCTTCACCATTATAGCCATCTTTCACTCAAATCGTCATGTCACAATCTGGTCGAGATCACACCTCCCATGCTGGGCAAAGCCATGCTACAACTCGTTCCCCAAGGCGTTCTATGCCACCACCGCCGGTAACCAATATCCCAGAGTTTCTCCAAAACCCATAGTTCATTCAACGACTAACATCTCTTATAGCTCGAGCCATGCCCAGAGCTTCGAACATCATACCATTACCTACTCATTTCTCCACGAATCACCAGAACAATTAAATCCAACTCATCAGAATCAAGAAACACATTTAGCAGCGTCACATGCCACCTCACAACCACATCATACTTCTCAACACCGAGTTGAAATGACTCGTGTAACTGTAGCCACATAGTGGCCTTCTGTTCAAGAAATGACCGCTGAAAGCCATTCTGCCCATCGTCACAGAGCTCCTTCACGCCTTAGACCCCTCTCGCCATTGCCTCGAGATCGTGAAGATTTGCGTCATCAGATTGAACGAAATCGTGTGTCAAGACATAGTTCGGAGGAATTAGAGGCTCTCCGACATGTCTCGACATCGGGTAATGTTATCATCGAAGTTGATTCTCCCTTAGCTCCCGAACTCACTGCAGAAGCGCTCCCCACTAAAATAAAAATTCCACCAATCGGCATGTATGATGGAACTTCAGATCCTGATGCACATTTAGGTCATTATACGTCTTGGATGGATTTGCATGGCGCCTCTGACGCTTTGAGATGTCGGATGTTTTCTCTCACGCTGGGGCCGCGCGCACAGAAATGGTACTACACTCTTCCACCTCATTCAATATGGAAGTGGCAACAGCTACATGCAACTTTCCGATCACACTTTATCGGAGCCCAAGTCTGTCTTATTCCGAAAGAATCAATTACTAACATTGTACAAAAGGATACTGAAACAGTTAAAGACTATATATCTTGGTTCAATGACCGAATTCAAAATATGGAACCTTGTTATCCTGAAACTTTATTGGTGACCGCGATCACTGGATTAAGGCCCAATTCTATGTTTCGTTGGACTCTGTGTCAAAACAAGTCGGCTACTTTTCAAGAATTTCTTGTGCGTGCCCAACAATTTATTATTGCCGAAGAGTCAATGTCGGTTTCCAGTTTCGACTTCTCGGTTAAGGAAGATAAGACTGAGCCAGATGCGAAGAAAAAGAATAAGAAGAACTTCGGAAAGGCACAATACCGAAGTTATTCGAAAGGTTATGAAGATACTCCAGAATCCAAAGCCGCCCGAGACCAATACGCCGATAATGTGAGGACAGGCTACCAAACTGTTTATTCAGCCGGAGCAGCCACAATTTTTGAAGAACTGAAAGGAAAAAGAATCATTCCTGATCCGAAACCTGTTAGAACTCCTGAAGACAAGCTGGACAAAACTCGATATTGTGCGTACCACAAGTCCCCGGGACATAATACTGACGAGTGTCTCGGCCTCTTATCGGCTCTCCTACGTTTAATTGGGCAACCTCAACTTCAAAAATTCAGGAATTTTGATAATCGCCGCAAAGAAAGGCCCGCAGACGTCTCGGATGAAGAAGATGATGATGAACGAGGCGCCAATCCGAAAATAATCTGCGCAACCGACAAGGAGGTTTTTACGTTCTCTAATCTTGTCGGCACCTCGCCGGTGAATACAAGAAACTTAGAACCGATGATGACTTGAATTCTTCTCATTATATACCTCGAATAAATTCTAACACTAAACAGTTGGATACATCTCGACGAAAAGCCAAAGCCTACGTTCGAGAAGCACAAAACGCCGGGAAACAAATCACGAATGTTGATCTTCGAGATACCATTAACAAACAGAATTGTCCTGTCACTTTCAACATTTAAGATGCCAATCTGTTTGCTCATCCACATTCTGATGCTCTTATTATTACTGCTCCAATTGGAGGGATTCCCATTCATCGAATTATGGTTGACACCGGGGCTTATTCAAGCATTTTGATGTTCCGTACTTTCAAATAAATGGGTTTAGATCCCGCTGATATTAGACCTTGTAACGATCAGATTCAAGGCTTCAAAGGAAGCATTTCTTGCCCCCTTGGTGAAATCTTACTCCCCATGCGATTTGGTGGCTTCGGAACAAAGTCCAAAATTATTATGGAAACTTTCAAAGTCTTGGATATTCAAAATGAGTACAATGCTGTCGTAGGACGTACTGCTCTTTATAAACTTCGCGCTGCTGTGTCGATTTTTCACTATGCATTAAAATTTCCTACCATCGAAGGAGAAGGCACTCATTACGGAGATCAGCAGGAGGCGCGAAATTTGACGTTGACTCCGACTTCACGCAATATTCATGCATATAACTCACAGGAAATTGATGATTCTGTTAAACTTGATTTGATATACCCAATTCTCTCTGATGCCAAAGTGGCAGATCAATCCACTTCGGATACCGACATCCCCTCTGTGCTTGATGCCGACGTCCCCATGATATCAGAATTGCCTAACACCTCGGATGGAGTTCATGACCAAGAACAACAGCTTCATAAGAAGGATACTACGATACAAGAAGATATAGACCCAAGGATGCAATTCAAAGATAAGAGTCATCACGTTCGAGCAGAACCTGTTGAAGACGTTGATATTATTTATATGGATGAGTTGATTCAAGAAAAACCACTACGTATCGGGGCTAACCTTTAGGAACCAATACGCTCTCAATTGATTCAATTCCTTCAGTCAAATTCCGACGTATTTGTGTGGAAGCATGAAGACATGAAGGGAATAGATCCTCAAAAAGTGTGTCATCGGCTGAACTTGGATAAGACTGTTAAGCCCGTCATACAGAAACGCCGAAAATTCAGACATGATCGTCAGAAAGCGCTGGAAGAGGAAGTGAACAAACTCATAGACAATAAGTTCGTCAAAGAGGACAAGTATCCAACATGGATATCAAACCCAGTTTTGGTCAAGAAAAGCAATGGCCTTTGGCGCTTATGCATTGACTTCTCGGATCTGAATCAAGCATGTCCGAAAGACAGCTATCTAGTCCCACACATCGATTATATGGTAGACGCTACATCGGGACATCAGCTCATGAGTTTTTTGGACTCCTATTCCAGTTATAATCAGATTCCCATGCACCCCGATGATGCTGAACATACTTCGTTTTATTCGGCTCGAGTTCTTTATTGCTATGTCATGATGAATTTTGGATTGAAGAACGCTGGAGCCACATACTAGAGGCTCGTCAATAAGATGTTTGCCCAACTAATCAGACGCACGATGAAAGTATATATAGACGACATGCTAGTGAAGTCAGAACAAGAAAGCGATCATATCGCTCATTTATCTGACGTCTTTAACATCCTTAGAGAATATTCAATGGTGCTTAATCCTAAAACGTGCACCTTTGGGGTCGGTTCAGGAAAATTCTTAGGATATATGGTGAGCCAAAGAGGGATCGAAGCCAACCCTGCGAAGATTCAAGCCATACTTGATTTGGCTCCTCCGACGTCTGTCAAAGGTGTCCAAGCATTAACTGGCCGGTTAGCCGCTTTCAATCGATTCATCTCAAAATCAACAGACCATTGTAAACCCTTCTTTGATGTTGTCAAAAAGAAGAAGCCGTTTGAATGGACCGCTGAGTGCCAAACTGCTTTCGACAATATTAAAGAAGTCTTTTCACAACTTCCAATGCTGCAAAAACCTATTCCCGATGAACCCTTGTATTTATATTTGGGAGTTAGTGATGTTGCCGTCAGTGCTGCTCTCATACGACAGGACGGACTCCAGCAGTTCCCGATATATTATGTTAGCAAAGCTCTACATGATGCTGAATTGCGATATCTACATATGGAGAAACTGGCTTTTGCCTTAATCATTGTTGCTCGTAAACTTCGACCATACTTTTTGGAGCACTCCATTATTGTGTTTACTTCATATCCTCTCCGACAAATCCTCCACCAACCTGACACGTCGGGAAGAATGATAAAGTGGGCTATAGAGCTTGGACAATTTGACATTCAATATCGACCAAGGACTGCCGTCAAAGCTCAGGTGTTGTCCGATTTTTCACTATGCATTAAAATTTCCTACCATCGAAGGAGAAGGAACTCATTACGGAGATCAGCAAGAGGCGCAAAATTTGACATTGACTCCGACTTCATGCAATATTCATGCATATAACTCATAGGAAATTGATGATTCTGTTAAACTTGATTTGATAGACCCAATTCTCTCCGATGCCAAAGCGACGGATCAATCCACTTCGGATACCGACATCCCCTCTGTGCTTGATACCGACGTCCCCATGATATCGGAATTGCCTAACACCTCGGATGGAGTTCATGACCAAGAAGAACAGCTTCATAAGAAGGATACTACGATACATGAAGATATAGACCCAAGGATGCAATTCAAAGATAAGAGTCATCACGTTCGAGCAGAACCTGTTGAAGACGTTGATATTATTTATATGGATGAGTTGACTCAAGAAAAACCACTACGTATCGGGGCTAACCTTCAGGAAACAATACGCTCTCAATTGATTCAATTCCTTCAGTCAAATTCCGACGTATTTGCGTGGAAGCATGAAGACATGAAGGGAATAGACCCTCAAAAAGCGTGTCATCGGCTGAACTTGGATAAGACTGTTAAGCCCGTCATACAGAAACACCAAAAATTCGGACCTAATCGTCAGAAAGCGCTGGAAGAGGACGTGAACAAACTCATAGACAATAAGTTCGTCAAAGAGGCCAAGTATCCAACATGGATATCAAACCCAGTTTTGGTCAAGAAAAGTAATGGCCTTTGGCGCTTATGCATTGACTTCTCGGATCTGAATCAAGTATGTCCGAAAGATAGCTATCCAGTCCCACACGTCGATTATATGCTAGACGCTACATCGGGACATCAGCTCATGAGTTTTTTGGACGCCTATTCCGGTTATAATCAGATTCCCATGCACCCCGATGATGCTGAACATACTTCGTTTTATTCGGCTCGAGGTCTTTATTTCTATGTCACGATGACTTTTGGATTGAAAAACGCTGGAGCCACATACCAGAGGCTCGTCAATAAGATGTTTGCCCAACTAATCGGACGCACAATGGAAGTATATATAGACGACATGCTAGTGAAGTCAGAACAAGCAAGCGATCATATCGCTCATTTATCCGACGTCTTTAACATCCTTAGAGAATATTCAATGGTGCTTAATCCTAAAAAGTGCACCTTTGGGGTCGGTTTAGGAAAATTCTTAGGATATATGGTGAGCCAAAGAGGGATCGAAGCCAACCCTGCGAAGATTCAAGCCATACTTGATTTGGCTCCTCCGACGCCTGTCAAAGGTGTCCAAGCATTAACTGGCTGGTTAGCCGCTTTGAATCGATTCATCTCAAAATCAACAGACCATTGTAAACCCTTCTTTGATGCTGTCAAAAAGAAGAAGCCGTTTGAATGGACCGCTGAGTGCCAAACTGCTTTCGACAATATTAAAGAAGTCCTTTCACAACTTCCAATGCTGCAAAAACCTATTCCCGATGAACCCTTGTATTTATATTTAGGAGTTAGTGATGCTGCCGTCAGTGCTGCCCTCATACGACAAGACGAACTCCAGCAGTTCCCGATATATTATGTTAGCAAAGCTCTACATGATGCTGAATTGCGATATCCACATATGGAGAAACTGGCTTTTACCTTAATCATGGCTGCTCGTGTAATACCCCGCTATTTTACTGAAATCGGAGTACGCTTTTTCGCAAAATTTCTGATTAAATTTAATAAAATATTAATTTTTGCGAAAACTAATTCGGAGTGTTACCGTGAAAATTTGACTTTTTATCTGAAAAACCGTTAATTTTAAACTGATAATCAAAACGGTTATATAATGTATTAGCCGACTAATGTCGGATCAAAAACTGAGTTTAAGTACTGAAAACTGAAGCGGAATAGTAGCGTGGTCAAAACATAACATATACATATAAAAAAAATATCCTGAACAGCTCGTCAGCTCACTCCTGGTCCCCGACCCTGTGACCTGAAAAACATGAAATACGTGGGGGCGTGAGCACCAAAACACTGTGCTCCGCAGAAACTCATACTAAAGTAAAACAGTGAAAATAATAACAATATCATGATCCTGGTATATATAACTGAACTGAAACTGAACTGATAACTGATACCGGTACTGATTAATCTGATACTGATCTCGTGATATAAATCACCTGACTGATAACTTAACATCTGCCGGCACAAACTAATACCGGACACCATGTGCACACTCTAGTGGGCAGATTAGGGCCACTAGAACCCAGAATGGACCGGCGATCATTCCGAGCGGATACTGATAATACATACCTCAAACATGGCAGCGATATTATAATCAATGTAGTATTTAGTCTGAGTCTCCACCTGAACTGCTGAAAATGAAGGTAGTGCTGATGCCTGGTCAAACTGAAAATATAATATAAACAATTACCAAGGACTATGCTCAGAC